AAGGGACCTTGAGAGGTCATTGAGTCCAGTACCCTGCCTTCATGGCAGGACCAAGTACCAACCCATACGATTCTATCGCAGTAATTATGCCAGTAAATGTCCCCATGTAGACATGCAAAGGGAAGTTTACAGAACTATGAATTTGTCATTTAAAACATGCATGGATGTATAAAATGGCTGTGGGCATGGGGAATACCTATACACAGAGCAGGGTCAGTAATCATCCGTGTTTACAGTTGGACATCTGGACTACACTCTAGTCACTGGGCCTAGATACTGTAGTGGCCATTGAAGGATACCCACTTCAGACGTGCTCTGCTGTCTTAAGCCTTCACTCCCTCCTCTTAAGGAATCATCATTATAAAACTTATTTGGCTTTTTAGCAACTAACTGAATAGCTGTTTACCATAGGTAGCCTGAAATGCCTCTTTTCCATGGTCACAGAATGGTGTACACTAAATTAGACCTGATCATGAAAAGAGCCAACCTCCAAGACAATGGCTGGATCTTTCCCAGTGCTGTTTCTCTCTTCATCCTACAGACGTTCCAAACATGTGTTGGGTTGATGTGAGAGGAGCTACAGGGTTCAGTTTTGAGAGAGCCAGAGTTTCTTAGAAGGCTTGCATGAGTCCCTGTCTTTGCCAGCCCTGCTTATCCTGTGAGGATGAGACCAGAATTCTTATCCACCCATTCCCATGTATTTAAAAGCCCCATATCCACTCAGATTGATAACACTGTGCTTTTTTTGCATGGAATATATCTCAGTATCCCAGACGGTGATTTTAGAACTGGTCCTAAAAATGACATAATTTGAATTTCTTCACAGCCGGTCATGTTTTCTCGGTGCTAGACTGTGCTGTCGTTACTGACATAAAGGAGAGGGTCAGAATCTAAATTAAAATCTTGATCATACACATTAATGTGGCATAACTGCTGTAGGTCAGCTAAAAAGGGAGACTTTGCTGTTTACTGGAGAAAGCAAAGTAGTGGGAATCAGGAAGTCTACAATGGGACTCTTGGCTCATGCTGTCTCATTTGAACAAATCACTGCAGCCACAGGGGCCACTCCGGTATTCAAAGGAGCTCAGCATCCATTATCTGGGACAGATTACTCAAAAGCCTGAGCTTCTATTTAGGCATCAGAACACTGAAGCAGGTTTTCAGCAAAGTTGCCCATGTTGGGTTCTGAATGTTTTTGGAAAGTCTGGACATAAGTGTCACAATGAAAAGTTCTAGGTGCAGATCTTTTGAAATATGGTCTTTATTTAGGTTTCTGGCTGGGAGTAGGGTTGCCAGGTGTGCGTTTTTGAACCAGACAGTCCAGTATTTGAGCTTTCTGCTCGGGAAACAAATTGAGAAAAGATAAATGAGAAAATATAAATGTCCTGTATTTTCTAAATAAGATGTAATGTAGATTGTAATGTAATGTCAAGTGTGTCCAGTGTTTTTGTTGAAACCATTTGGCAACCCTAGTTGGGACTTGTTTGTATTTCTGGCCCCAACTAACCTATCTGTTCCCATAATACTTGTCTCAGAGTGGTACTGTAAGGTTAAATTTAATATCTGTAACATGCCTGGTCTTTTTTGGATGAAGTATACCAGGGAAGGGGAAAGTATTGTGCTTTGTTTGTTTGTTAGAAACCTTTTAGCCTCCCATCCACAACTCTCCTGTCACTGCTAAAATTGGTGCTTCTGAATTAGCAGAATTTTGCATGTGCCATAACTAGATGCCCACTCTCTGTGTGTAAAATGAAAATTATTTGGGCAGCTCTTCTGCACTGATAGCCTAATCCCCTTCCTGGCTGAGACCATGTGGTGGTAAGATTCCACAGAGTCTTTAATAAAAGGAGGAAGAGGATGATGAAAGCAAACCTGTTAGTTTGCACTGACTTGGCCGTCTCATGCACCAGACCCAAGGAAACCCAGTGAGTGTAATGTACAGGGTTATTTGTCTGCATTTCAAATATGTGGTTTCTAGAGGTCAATAATCACCCATTAAAATAAAGCCTGGAACAGAGAGTGCCAATCTTCAAAGAATTAGATGGTTTGAAATTGCAGCCTCTGAATTCCCAAGATAGGTAATTGCAGTTTTTGGGCTCAGTAGCACACTGAGACATGCAAATGAGCACCCTTGAGTTCATTGGGGGGGCATACCAATACATACCACTTCATGTAGAAGAGCAGGGCCTTGAACTTTAACGTCTCCATGGTATGCTATTTTCCAATATTGCATGGATGTTTGGAGCAGATGTGCTGTTGTGGGAGGCAACAGGCTTCCATTCACTGGGAGAGACTACAGAGTCTTTGTTAACAGAATAACTTTGTGATAGGTTGTAGAACTCTGAGGCGAGGGATTTCTTGGAGAGCAATGAACTGATCCAACATAATCTGAGGCTTTTGAGAGCCTTTCCACTGATTACCCTGGGCTGTGGGTCAGTCCCCTGTTGCACAAGTAAATGCACATACCTTGGGCCAACTTAACTCTGTTGCAGTGGTGTAAATCTGGAAAAACTCAGAGCTATTGACTCCTAAGGAGATACTCATATGAGCGCCAGTTGCAAGATCAGGTCTATATACTGCAGTGTTCTGTAATTTATTTCAGTTTAAAATACTATGAGATGTGAGCCCTCCTTTGCTTTGTATCCACAAGTTTCCACGTTTTGGCACAATGTTTTGGTTTTTTTAAAGGCCATGTTGCCACTTTTTGAGTTTATGGGCCAGTAGCCAGTGTTTCTGCTCAAGAGACGAATTCTCTTGCATTCTGGTCAGGAGCTAGAAGGCACAATGGACAGCAGGGTTTGTTTGTGTGTGGGTTTTTTTTTTTTTTAATTTTAGCATGTTTGTTTGTAATTGATCTTGAGAGTCAAACGGTATGGAAAGGAGCTTTGCATGGAAACCACCTCCCACTGAATTGCCTCTGGGACAAGCAGCAGTGAATCTGTTTCAGCAGCTACTTTATGGCTGGAAAAAACCCTCTAAAATTAAATGACTAAAATTATATATCTGCACATCATTCTCATAGATATAAATGTCCAATCCTGTTTTGAATCTTGCTAAACTATTTGCCTCCATAGTATCCTGTGGTAATGAGTTCCAGAAGCTATTTACGTTGTGGACGTTAGGTTGTTTTCTTTTTTTTAAATTAAAACCAGCTTTTTGTCTATAGCCATTACCTTCATTCATCCTTCATTTCCTTATGTTTCCTCTCCACTGGTACAATAGATTTTAACCTCTTAAAATATTATAACTATTAATTCCATGGTTATGGACTCTCACAGCTCTCGCTGTGCTTAGGGTTACCAGATGGTTTAAAATAAATACTGGACACACTGGATCTCAGATCGGGGGGGAACCGACCGGGAGGGTAGCGGGGCTGGCCGGGAGGTGGTCACGGGAAGTGGGGCTGGCCAGGGGAGATGGAGGGGGAGGGGGCGGAGAACTGGCTGGTGGGAAGCAGGGCTGGCTGGGAAAGGGTAGGGGGGAGTAGGGCTGGCCAGGGAGGAAATGGGCTGACGGGGGGAGAGCAGTAGGGGGAGAGCTGGGCTGGCCTGGGCACACGCAGATCCCAGGGCGCTGCCCGTCCCACGCACGGTCCCAGCGGGGCGCATGGACGAGTCTGGCCCTGGGGATTCCATCCTGCCCCGCCCCCCTTCTCTCTACTGTGTAGTTGCATACTACCTGGCTGGTAGACACGCTCACACAGTGTGAGCATGTCTACCAGCCAGGCAGTACGCAACTATGTACTCATACTCATGATAATAATTAAAACTTAATTAGAAAATACTGGACATTTGTATGTCCGGTATTTTCTCAATTTGTTTCCTGGACAGAAAGCTGAAATACCAGACTGTCCGGTTCAAAACCAGACATCTGGCAACCCTAACTATGCTGCATGTCATAGCCACTCTCACTGTCAGTCATAAAGTTGTAAAGAAATCCAGTCTTCTTCCTACAAAAACACAGGTCCCTAATGCTTGAATTAAAGAAGAGTCTCTGTTTAGTCTCTGTACAGCTAGGAACTAAGACATATTGTTGACCAGTTTTGCTTCTATGTAATAGAGGGCAGTGATACACATACAGACCAATCCATTTATGACAATATATTTCTGAGGAAAGTTTTAATTGCTCCTTTTTTATTATTATTATGAGCATAATCTAGAACTAATCCACGGGAGAGGAAAAGAGTAGGGCTATGGCTACACTGCAGGCTTCTTGTGCAAGAACTGTTTTGCGCAAGAGTTCTTGTGCAAAAGGTCTTCTACAAGAGTGCGTCCACATTGCCATGCGCTTTTGTGGAAGAGATGTGCTTTTGCACAAGAGCATCCATGGTGGTGTACAAGAAAGCTCTGATGGCCATTTTAGCCATAGGGCTTTCTTGCTCAAGAAACCCCTGTTGCCTGTCTACACTGCCTTCTTGTGGAAGAGCTCTTGCACAAGAGGGATTATTTCTCATGGGGAGAGGAATAACTCTTGCTCAAGAAGCCTTGTTTTCCGACGCTTTACTGTAAATTTACATGCTCAAGAATGCGTGTGCAGTATAGTAATAGAAATGTAGCCGTGTTAGTCTGGGGTAGCTGAAGCAAAATGCAGGACAATGTAGCACTTTAAAGACTAACAAGATGGTTTATTAGATGATGAGCCTTCGTGGGCCAGACCCACTTCCTCAGATCAAATAGTGGAAGAAAATAGTCACAACCATATATACCAAAGGATACAATTAAAAAAA